ACACGAACTGCAGAGAAATCTGGAGACAACGAAAAACTCAGATGAAGATATTAATGCCGTGCGTAATGATTCCGGACCCAGACAATCAGATAAAGGTGATCCACAGGACACAGCCAGTTTAGCCGCACACTACTTTTATGCCGACCATTTACATCCAAATGTTATTTAATTTTCACAGAACACAACCTTTAAATAGATTTCAGAATATAAACTGTCTATTCAATAAGACTAAATAAAAAGTGTGCGCCTCATTGTGCATTAACTTGAATTAGGGCTGCACGATTAATCGCATGCGATATTTTACGCGCATCTTATCAGTAAAGCCGGTTCTGTAATCAGCGGTAAATCTCCATCACCTGCGTGCTTTCACATTGAGCAGCATTAACTACACAGAGCCGTTGTTCACTGATGAGCAGCGCAAAAAATCGCGCGAATATGAACGTGGTTTAGCGCAGCTCGTCAGTGAACAACGGCTCTGTGTAGTTAATGCTGCTCAATGTGAAAGCCCGCAGGTGATGGAGATTTACGCTGATTACAGAACCGGCTTTCTGACAAGATGCGCGTTAAATATCGCATGCGATTAATCGTGCAGCCCTAACTTGAATCAAGCCCTACAAATGTCTGTTTTAAAAACAGAGGATGAGTAATTCACTCCTTGATTTGCTTAATAAAAGCCTCCTTTGAGATCGTTTTGACAGACATGTTTATTGTGCATTTTAAACGTGTTTATTGCTAAGTTTAGTGTGGCAAAATAGAAGCCAGCTGTAATTCGTGGGCAATGTATGTGGTTACCATGACAACCTCATGCGCTTGCCACTGCTCTATGTAGATTTACTCTTCCACCGGTTCGGTTTGCCCCCCCCCAACTCAAACGTCAAGCTACGCCTATGGCTACACCCTATGAGTCTCTGTGAGTCAAAATCTATTCATAAAACAGCATTTTAAAAGATTTACTCTTCCACCGGTTCGGTTTGCCCCCCCAACTCAAACGTCAAGCTACGCCTATGGCTACACCCTATGAGTCTCTGTGAGTCAAAATCTATTCATAAAACAGCATTTTAAAACACAAACGTGGAATCTTAACAGTTTCCTATTTTTAGAGTTTATTCAACTCTACAAGGACCCAGGAGATAGCATTTAATTTTTCCCCCCCATGATATTGATCAAAGGTTTTTGATCGGGTCTAGGGAACAAAAAAAGTTCTTCTAAAAGGCTAAAACTGCAGTTTATCATGATTATATATTTTTTCCTCCACTGACAGCAATTTCCACACACCGTTAGGCATTAATAAACACAAAAGACCTGAAGAAGAAACATAGTCTTCTGATAAAGTCCAATATGCTGATTCACTAGGATCTATAACAAGTGATTTATGAGCTGCTATATTCAGCACCACCCGGAAAAAGCGCAAATAAGGCTATTATGTTCCCCTCAGTCAAAACTACTCTTAAAAACTGTAAGTACTTGGGAGTTGTAGTCGTGTCCTGAATCTCATTTTCTCATGTATGCATGCCATTTTAGCACAAAATTGTCAATAAACACTGTGTTTTCTATGAAGGTCTTCTGATTTTTAAACAAACTGAACATGGCTCGTTCAAATAAATAAAGATTAGAACCTGGTTATCATAGTTGGGCTTGACAATATTATGCGGAAACATGAAAAATGGGCGCCCCAGTTATTTTCGTTCATACAGCCCAACTGACACCATCAGGTTAAAGTAGGCGTGACAAAATCTAAAGTGACAGAATGAACCAATCAAACACTGTTATTTCGTGACGTCTGAGCTCCCTGACCAATCAAAAGGAGGCTCATGCTTGTAAAATGCTCGTTTTATCACCTTGTTCAACTCATGCAGGTGACAGCTCAGAAATCAAATTGCAAAGAGTCAGAGACATTTCTGTGTTAAAGGTGTTAATGAGCAAGAAGCAAGCAGCCATTTTAATATAACAGTATTTAGGCGTAATGACATTATAGTGGATGAAACTGACAGACACCACAAGAGACTGCACCAAGCGAGGCGCAGCCCGAGTCTAATCCCCACCTGAGTCTCGTCCATCTGCTCCGAATATGTCTCCGTGTCCTGGTTATCTGATGACATGGCTGCTCGGCGTTTGCTGACCAATTAATAAACGTGTTTGAGTGTAAATTTCGCTGTCTATTCGTACCCGATCTGGTCCACCCACGGTGTTCAGTATCAAAATGGCGTTCGCTGACGTCATTTTGGAGGACGGTCACGCAGCGGAAGAGCCAATAGGAATCTGGATTGATGTTTGAGTGACAGGAGAATCAGCCCGTAGATTTCCAATAGTCTCATCAAAATAAAAAAGTAACCAATGGTAGGCTACAATGCCTTTGCGAGCTCACACAATAATAAACATTATGGGGCAATTTAAACTGTTAAATGGTATTAAAATCTTCAGGAGACGTTGATAAAAATTCTCAATAAATGACAGGTTTTTAATATGGATCATGCCTGCGACAATACTGTTATATAGGAGAGACCTTTTAATTAATATTTTTGAAATAGTAATTATAAGGCCTAGGCCTAAATTGACTCCATTTACAATTCACCAGTCATGCAGTGACGTTTAACCCTCTATGGTACGGAGTTGCCATATGGCAACAATTAATTTCTACTCATTTCCTTGTTATTCTGAAAAAACTACAATATATTGCATTATGGGAATTAAAAGGGTAGGCCTTAAGGTAGCCAATGATGTGCTGTTTTTAAGTCACATGATAACTGAATGTCCCTCCAATGTGCAACTTTTGTTAAAAATGGGTTGCAGTATAGGAAAGTTGATACTAATTCTAAGATGGAGTGTTTGGTTGTGGAGATTTGGACTAGTTATAACCCTATTTCTGTGATAAATTATTATAACCCCTGTCAATCTTTGGTAATGTCAGATTTTGATGAGATAATGGAGAAGGTAAGATGTCCTGTTATATGGGTTGGAGATTTTAATGCGCATAATCCAATATGGGGTAGTGATCACAGGGACAAAAATGGTGTTATAATAGAAAAATTTTTAGATAAGTATGAGTTGGTAGTGTTAAATGATGGAAGGCCAACTAGGTATCAGATAGTGAGAAATATGTATTTATGTATAAATAACAAAATTATGTATTCTTTTCAGAAAATTAATACAGCAATATTTTATGGAAAGGGCAATGGGAAGAGTGCAGAGTTAGCTCTTCCATGTGATGAGAGTGAGGATGAGTTAGCCTTCAGTGACTGTGGAGGAAAGGAAGACCTCTAATACACAACATGACAGGAACCCTGCAAGGGAAACAAAGAAGAGGCCCAGTGGCCCCCAGTGTGCCTGATCAAGTCAGGTTGGACCAAACAAGCCACTGGCCTGTCATGGAGAAGAAAGGGAAGTGCAAATACCCTGGCTGCAAGGGGATCGTCCGCATGAAGTGCAGCAAATGTGACTTGCACCTTTGCATCACAGCTGAAAGGAACTGCTTTTTGCAGTTTCACGGGATGCCATGAAATGTGACATGAGTTGGACTGAGACAGGTGCACATGGATGGACTGGGAAAACACACACTTTACTTCAGGGAGCCGCCTATCGTTATACCTGTATTTTTGAAGTTCTTATGTTTTCATGTTCTACATGGTATTAGTGCATGTTCCAAGCTACCATATATTTACTTAACTTGTATAAAATACTTTCAAAAAGACTTGTTTTTGTTGTTGGAAAGTTTCTGGATGTAAAACAATAAAAAGCTGATGAATTTGATATGCATATATGGTACAAAAGCGCATTTTGTTGTCCGTTTGCAAGCATTATTATAATACTTTTAAGTACCATTTTGAAGGTTAAATGATAGGAACCTACTTACTTTTGGTTTGCATGAGTTCCAAGTATAAAAATCTATCAATATCTAAAAGAAATGACCATTTAAATAGAAAAGAAAATCATAATTTAATAGAAAAACTACTTTTTTGGCCATTTTCCATTGTGGTACACTGTTGCCATATGGCAACGTTTTCCTAAATACCCCCCCAAAATTATTTCTCAAAAATATTTTTTTGATTTGTATAATTAAAGCTATTTCATGTAATAAAAACTTATTTAAAAAAATATTTCATGGTTAGAACATAATGCGTACCATAGAGGGTTAAATAAGTAAATCTGCAATCCCCTACCCCAAATGGATTATATTTTCCCACTGTGTTCAAGGCTGGCATACCTTAGGCAAGAATGGCATTTATATAGATCAGTGCATTTAGTAAATTTAACAATGCGCTGATGATAAAAAATACTGTATTTTTAAAAATGTTTTGTGTCCATTTCTAAGATTTTAGTTTTTTTAAATGCTTTCTTGTCACAAACAGTCAAACTTTATAACAATTTTTATGTCAATACACAAAAACAATTGACAAAATGTAAAAAAAGAAAAGAAAGAAAAGAAAAATAAACGGTACCCGATGTGATGCTTTTCTATATTCATAATGGCATAATTTTATTTTTGTATTAACTTTTCATAAGCCCATGTGTGCTTGTTTATATGGTACTTACACATAATTAGACAAGAAATAAAAGAGAAGTCAAGTTTTGTTGTTATCCTACTGTTAAAGGGGTCATATGATGCGATTTCAATTTTTCCTTTCTCTTTGTAGTGTTACAAGCTCTTGGTGCATAAAGAAGATCTGTAAAGTTGCAAAGACTAAAGTCTCAAATCCAAAGAGATATTCTTTATAAAAGTTAAGAGTCAGCCAATCGGCTTTCACCGTGGACGAAGCAGAGTCCAGCCCGGAGTCCTCACATGTGGTTGCCGCAGGCATCACAATAAGTTAAGGGACGTAACATTTCCGTCACACGCTTGAGGTATTCGGCCAATCACAACACACTGGATAGCTGGCCAATCAGAGCACACCTCGCTTTTCTTTTTTTTTTTATTTTTTTTTTAAGTTTTTTTTTTTATTATTATTAAATCAATCATACATTTAACATATACACACTGTCAAAATAAGATTGAAGCTTGTGCGAATATGCGAAGTGAAGTCCAGGATGTTCAGGCCCAGCAGAACTTGGTTACGTCGCCATCTACTGGCTCCTCAGCAAAATTAAAAGTCAAGAAGCAATTGTGGCAGAATCTTTTCAAAGTGCTCAATATCAATATTGTCACAGTCCTCACTGTCAGCCTGTTTAACAGCTCTGCGTGTCGCCTCTTCAACAAATACTTTCAGCATCTCTGCTACAAGTATGACAGCATCACTGCTGACTTTGGTTTTATCCTCCTTAAAAGAGCGTGTCAAAAGTTTGGCAACAGTTTCCTTTTTAAACACGATTTCATTTCCCGCATTCGCCATTCTAAAGCCTCCAGTAACGTCACTGCTGGAATCAGCTTCTTCTTCGCTTGCTGAATGTCATGTCGGACAGGCTGCTGCACTCTAGCGCGCTAATACAGAACGACAACACGGGTGACCTTGAAGCATTTGTGAAGAATAAATCTTTGACGGAAAAATTCGCATCTTGTCCTCGCCGAAATTAAAGTTCTGAATGTCAGACATCTTTTATTGTCTACGTCTGTTTTAGAGCTCCTTGGTCCACATAAACAATGTAATGCATCTTTGTAGTTGCATTTGTAATCATGACCACACCTCGCTTTTCAGACCAATGAGCTTTGTAAAAATCGGCGCGTTTCAGAAAGGCGGGGCATAGAGGAGAAACAATAATGTACAGTATGTGGAAAATAATGTGTTTTTTTTAACCTTAAACCGCACAAACACATTTCATTACACCAAATACACCAAATAATGTTCTTTTTAGCAGCATCATATGACCCCTTTAACATTTCGACACTCGACGAGAAGGGTGTTCCTGCACAACCGGAGGCAGCAGTTTCAGGACCGCAGTTCTAGGACCCTATGCTTTTGTAACAGCGCCACCTACCGAATTGGATAATATAGCGGAGGCTGCAGTTTCAGGACCGCATTTCTAGGACCCTGGTGGTTTAGTTTGTAGTAATGTTTGTACATGTTGTTAAAGATATTGAATCTCAGGAACATTTTTTTTTATTTCAATTGTGATTTTTGATTTATAAATGCATCAGATGTTAATTACAAAGTGTGTAATACCTGCTTTGAGTTAACAATTTTAAATTTAAATTAATTTACACTTAAAATATAAATTAAAAATGTATTTCAGTCTTTAAACAACTGAAAATGTGGAGTACCTTAAGTCTTAGTTTCTTGAAATATACTGTATATTGATTTGCCCCCTTAAGTTTAACTAGTTCATTATCCGGTATAATAAAGATAGAATCAAATGAAATCAGCATTTGCGGTCACTAAATTACAGCCAGATATTTAAAAGTTTGTAGAGAAGCATAGGGTGCTAGAACTGCGGTCCTGAAACTGCGATCCTGAAACTGCCAAGTAGATATAACTGCAGACCGGAGATCTCCAAAATGGGGCGTGAACTCCAAAAGTGGGCAGAACCTCCAA